TAATATCTAACTTGTGTCCATTTACCCTTTTACGTAGTGACTGTCCAGTTTGGCCGATGTAAATAGCAGAGGGGTATTGCTGGCACATGATGGTGTATATTACATTGGTGGACGTGCAGGTGAATGAACACCGGTGATGTTGTGGCTGATCTGGTTAGGTCCTGTGATGGTGTCACTGGTGTAGATATGTGGGCAGAGTTGGCATCGAGGTTTGTTGCATGGATTGGTTCCTGAGTTAGAGTTACTATGGTGTGGTGTGTGGTTGCTGGTGAGAATATGCTTAAGGTTGGCGGGTTGTCTGTGGGTGAGGACTGGCCTGCCTCCCAAGGCCTGTGAAAGTGAGGTATCGTCGTCCAGGATGGGTTGTAGATCACTGATGATGCGTTAGAGAGGTTTTAGCTGAGAACTGTAGGTGATGGCCAGTGGAGTTCTGTTGGTTTTTTTCTTGGGCTTGTCTTGCAGCAGGAGGCTTCTGGGTACTCGTCTGGCTCTGTTGATTTGTTTCCTTATTTCCTCGTGTGGGTAGCATAGTTTTGAGAATGCTTGGTGAAGATCTTGTAGGTGTTGGTCTCTGTCTGAGGGGTTGTAGCAAATGCGGTTGTACCTCAGCGCTTGGCTGTAGACAATGGATCGTGTGGTGTGTCCAGGATGGAAGTTGGAGGCATGAAGGTAGGCATAGCGGTCGGTGGGTTTTCGGTATAGGGTGGTGTTGACGTGACCGTCACTTATTTGTACCGTGGTGTCTAGGAAGTGGACCTCCCGTGTAGATTGGTCCCGGCTGAGGTTGATGGTGGGTGGAAGCTGTTGAAATTGTGGTGGAATTCTTCCATAGTCTCCTTCTCATGGGTCCAGATGATGAAGATGTCATCAATGTAGCGTAGGTAGAGAAGGGGAGTGAGTGGATGAGAGCTGAGGAAGCGTTGTTCCTGGTCAGTCATAAAAATGTTGGCATAGGCCATGTGGGTGCCCATAGCGGTGCTACTGGTCTGGAGGTATATATTGTCACCAAATTTGAAATAATTGTGTGTGAGGATAAAATCACAGAGCTCAGCGGTGGCATCAACATACTGTTCCTGACAGCTTGTATTCCAGCTGTGTGGGGGATGTTTGTGTAGAAAGCCTCCACATCCATGGTGGCTAGGATGGTGTTTTCTGGAAGATCACCAATGCATTGTAGTTTTCTCAGGAAATCAGTGCTGTCACGGAGATAGCTGGGAGTGCTGGTGGCGTAGGGTCTGAGTAGAGTATCCACATATCCGGACAGTCCTTCAGTGAGAGTGCCAATTCCAATGATGATGGGGTGTCCAGGATTTCCAGGTTTGTGGATCTTGGGTAATAGATAGAATGACCCAGATTGGGGCTCTAAGGGTATGTTGATTTGTTCCTGTGTTAGTGTAGGGAGTGTCCTGAGTAGATGGTGCAGTTTCTTAGTATATTCCTCAGTGGGATCTGAAGAAAAGTGGCCTGTAGAATTTGGTATTGGAGAGTTGTCTGGCAGCCTCCTTTTGGTAGTCAGACCTGTTCATGATGACAACAGCACCTCCTTTATCAGCCTCTTTGATTATAATGTCAGGGTTGTATGACATTATAATGGCAGGGTTATTAGCTTCCACCCCACCATCAACCTCACCACACGGACACACCACACGATCCATTGTCTACAGCCAAGCGCTGAGGTACAACCGCATTTGCTACAACCCCTCAGACAGAGACCAACACCTACAAGATCTTCACCAAGCATTCTCAAAACTATGCTACCCACACGAGGAAATAAGGAAACAAATCAACAAATCAACAGAGCCAGACGTGCACCCAGAAGCTTCCTGCTGCAAGACAAGCCCAAGAAAAAAACCAACAGAACTCCACTGGCCATCACCTACATCCTCAGCTAAAACCTCTCCAACGCATCATCAGTGATCTACAACCCATCCTGGACAACGATACCTCGCTTTCACAGGCCTTGGGAGGCAGGCCAGTCCTCACCCACAGACAACCCGCCAACCTTAAGCATATCCTCACCAGCAACCACACATCGCACCATAGTAACTCTAACTCAGGAACCAATCTATGCAAGAAACCTCGATGCCGACTCTGCCCACATA